TGCGGATTTTCACGGTGAAAATTTTCTGCGAATGAAGGCGGGACGCGAGTGAGCCGCTTTTCGTAGTGGCTAAAGTAATTCGTCCCAAATCGAAGCAATCCCGCAGAAACCCGAAACCAATTTCGAAAGAATTGCATTCTAAAACCGTCCACGTGGCAGCCCCCGAGGCCAAACAACCGACTCTACCGCACGTGAGAATACCAGAAACCCCCGGAAAAACCTTGAGAATCTTGAACTAGGGGAACGATCGATTTTCGGAAAGAACAGTTTCTGGAATATTTTCTTTTCTCGCGATAAAACGAAAGCTGGATGCTGCAGGAGTTATCCCTTTTTCCAGATAATTATGTTTACTTCCCTTAAACGTTTATATTTGAAGATCCCGGTGTCGAATGTAAACGAGGCGAGCTTAACTTCTTTAATATCTCTAATAATAACCCGCATAAATTTGTATCGCGATATTTATCGCATCCTTTGCTTGATACGAAACTTTTAGGATTAATCCTTAAATCCTCGTAATCCTTTTCGGAGAGTTATGCGACTTATATGCGAACGGAGTTTCTCCAACAAGAATATTTGAATCGCCCCTAGCAACCCCAAGTATCCTTACGCTCCCATCCTTGGTATCTCATTTTTATCTCCTGTTTTTTCTTCGCCTTTCTACCATCGTTGCCTCCTCTTTCATACTACGTCTTTAGCGCACCACGTCTAAAGATACTAGTGAAAGAAGACATATCTTCTTTTACCGCAATTTCTTTTATTTTGTAGAACCGACGCGGGTCGACAAGTTGAGGATACCTCATGGAAGGAAAGGGATATTCGTTATCCGCTTAATTTTACTAATGGATCAGCCGGTATACGGTTCAACGAGAGATTACGAAATAGATGAGTGACGGTAAGAGACTACTACACAATTTTCTTCTTACTTGTCTTAGTCGTGCCGACTTGCCTTACCGCTTTTATTCCTTGTGCTCGTTTTCTTGTGCCACCGCGGCGTGCCGCGTCGAGTTACCGTTTTTCTTGTTCTCACACTGTGGCGAGAGGAACTTCTCGACTTGAATCATATCTTCTTCTCGGCACGTCGGTATCGTTACCGACTAGCGTCTCGTTCGTTCGCGGCCACTTCTTGTTCCTCACAGGAGGTACCGGTAAGGTACGCAAAAACATTTCAGTAGATCTCCGTGCGAACCGCCATGGTTTGTTGGAGTAAAGGAAAAGAGGGAGTATTTTCAGAACGCGCGGCGCGTGATAAGCGAAAAGTGTAAAATGGAGATTCATCTCTCTGTGTACGGAGCATCAATTATACGGTTGTATATCTACTTTATTCTAATGTCAAACTTCATCGATCTTCAATAAACTATTTTCAAATGTTTTATTTTTACGCTGATAAATATATCAAAGGTAAGTATATTTAAATATTTTTATTACTTTTACTGAATATAGGAATTATCTTATTATATTTAATTAGATCTATTCGGTCTAAAAATTCGTATATCACGTGGCTTATTTCATATTTTTTTGAAATATTACGTTTGCTTGTCTTAGTTGTTGGTTATTACCGAAGCCTTAGTGGTCGAATTGATCTCGAAAAGTCAGAAATTCCAGACTCAAATCCTGACTGAGATAATATATTTTTCAATAAAATTATTCGCAGATAAGGTTTTCGTCAATATTGCTTCTCAATTTAATGAAATTACTACTCTCAATTTAATGACATTACTACTCTGGTCTTATCATGATTGCATTTCAAGACAGAAAAAGATTTCCGCGCGCAGTTAACAGAATCAGATAAGTATGTAAATTTATATAGAAATATTTAAGCACTAAAATTTGGTTTGTGTGTGTGACCGAATATAGGAATTCTCTTATTTAACTAGTTTTATTATCTTATATGTAGAGATAAAAAGTACATTGTGATTTCTACGAAGGAATGATGGAGAATATTGATTTCACGAATCAAAATAAACAGTCGCAGATGTTAAAAACGCAGTCAAAAAAGCTGGCACAATGCCTTCTGTCGCTAACAAACCCCTGCGGCTCTTTATAGGACAATGCTAGATGGGGACAATACAAAGAACCCGCAAATTGGCTTCGATGGTTCGTAGACAGGCCGCCATTCGGGCAAATCAGCGCCGCGAGGTTACGGTCGTCAAATCAATATTTGCACCCTCACCACCCTCGCACACAGAGAACCAGATTGCAAAGTCAGGCGTGTCGGAATTAGTGAAGAAGGAAGGAAGGAAGGAGAGAGTAAGGAGGGTTGGACTCGACGGTGAAGGACGACGATGAGGAGAGAGCACGGAGGAAACATGAAGATGTGGAGTGGTAGGACTACGTGGTTGGTGGCGTTAGAAATCGGCGGTAAACTGAATTAACCCCGTGTTGACCCGCGACCGTATGTTACCAATGACTATTACGTTGCCGGAGTCGCACGGATAGAGTCCATTATAATCGAGCATTGCTCAGGAATGGAAAAGGAATGATCGAGGTGCTGTCAGCCGAGATGTTTGTGCAAATGTTATACTTGCCGATCGTTCGTGCATTAGCTTCGCTCGTGCGAAAGATTTGTTGGATTTGCTGGCCTGGCTGAAAGTATTTGCCAAAACAAGAACACGCAGCTACCTTTTACTTTTGCGTATTAAAGTGGCGGAAGCTAGCTTCCGTTCGCTGCAGCTAAATTCGAGCACGCCAACCTTCCAGCAATTTTTGGTATGTAATGCAGTCTGCAGCACATCGATCAAGTCGACGATTACATTCTCGCGTTTTGGCTTTTTCGTGTCGACGAGCGACAGCACGAATAGACGCTCGGACGATAAGTTCTTTGAGTTTGATGCCTTTCAAGTTTGCAACATGGTTTAACGCCACCAATACTATAAGAAAATGTACCGAGATGTCAAGGAATGTTTCCCCTTTGCAGTTATGTGAAAGCTGAAGGAGTTTACTGACAACGCGAATAAGTATTCTCTATATATATATCTTTATCATTTGATAAATTTATTTATCAGAGAGAATACTTATTCGCGTTGTCAGTAAACTCCTAAATATATATATTTAGGAGTTTACTGACAACGCGAATAAGTATTCTCTCTGATAAATAAATTTATCAAATGATAAAGATATATATATATCTTTATCATTTGATAAATTTATTTATCAGAGAGAATACTTATTCGCGTTGTCAGTAAACTCCTAAATATATATATTTATATGTATATACAATCAAATTTTTCATTAATAGTAGAATAAATTCGATAAACTTTGTCAAATCCAATTAAGCAATATACAAAATTATGTAAAAAAATAACAGCACTAAAATATAAATATATTATCTATAATAAATAATAAAATTTAATGAAAAGGCGTTATTATGTATTATATGTTTTTACGAGCAAATCGTAAAATGATTTTCGTAGTTTCATAAAAATAAATATCCTGACAGCACGTATACCATATGCTCCTTTGATTTAATAAATTTCTTTTTTTTTTCCATTACGTTGAATTTCTCGATTTAAGTCAAGGGAAGAAGTCAACTGACCACAACTCAAATCAACGCAGAACGCATGCTGTTTGCTATTTCCCCACGGAATCGCATGGTGAGTCGCATGGTGAGTCGCAGAAAGCCAGTGAAACTGTCACGTCCTGTGCACCGAAGCGGGTATAGGTGTTCGTTGATTGAGAGTAATCTGTTTTGTTAATTGCAAGGTCCGCAGAGCCCGATACCTGCGGTTGCGTTGTGCTGCGTTCAGCATTACAAACTCCCTACTAGCAGTAGTCGCTTCCACCTCCATTCGGGTGGTAGACCATCCGTCCACCTCCCGTTCCTCACATCCTGGCTCACAACATCGCCAACCACAGTGTGAGCCTGTCGTGGAGAACAGCGAGGAGACGGGGGTCGGTTAACCGACTAATTGCAATACTGACGCGCTCGCTCGCAGTATTTGTGAAATTGCGATCATATCCGCCGTCCTTGCGACGCCTATCATCGTGTATAATAGGCGCTATCCGCACACGCCGTAACCACACTCGCATCCGAACGCACGTTAATGGACCGTCAAAAGCAAAATTCAGCGTTTTTTCCGGGCCGGGTCGCGTCATTTTTCAGAGAGCATGTCCGCACCGCTCGGTTTTCAACAAGACCCGACGAGAAAAATGTAGCGCGATTGTTATTGCTGCAGCAACCGACGATCGACGCGTAAATGCAGGAAGTCGAAAAAGGAAACTGGTTTGGTCGCCGGCTGATGAATACAATGCAATCACTCTTTTTTATTCCCGACAGTTAGCAAAAATTCTATTTCGTACGAAAAGTGAATATTTCATTTGCAAGGGTACTTCGAAGTCCGTCCCATGCAATGTAGAAGCGAGACAATTAGCGAGCCATAAGTTCTCTCTCAAGCAAAGGACAACGCGACCGTACTTTGCATGATATAAGAAATTTAAATATAATGTAGAGCGTAATCATAAAGAACTTTATGTGATGCTACAACGCAAATTTGCATCACTACAGGTTTCGTCATCCAGTAATTTTATAAGTCAACCAAATTGTGCTTATGATTCGTTTACGACTTTGCTCGGAGACGTTTTAGACTTAAGATCATTCTCTTTCCCTAGTTACAAGTAATACGAGAATAATCATCTCTGCTAACGACGAAACTTCTCTTCCCTTAAACTCAGCGTAGCTTCCCTTAAACTCAGAATGAGCTCCGACATTCTTAGTATAAATAGTTACATTTATACGATTATCACAATTTTAAACAGTCGTACATTTGCCTTAACTGGAAAATTCTAAGCTGAAGCTAGTTTTTAGTCTCTTTATTTTCTCGTATTTTTCACTCAGTATTATTTAAAATTAAGAAATGAGATCTCTTCATCTTAAGTAAAATTTTTCAAGTTCCATTATATGTATCAACAAAAAAACAAAAGAAAATGAAATAGTAACACTTGAAGTTTCAAAGTTACTCTCCCGTCGAGTACAAAAGTATTTTTGAGAAACTAAATATACTCACCAGTCGTGTACATAGCAACACCCTTCAGGGTTACCGGCTCAAGTATGGCAGGTTCGCTTCTCCCCTTCGCATTAATCGCGTATAGGAAAAGTCGATAACTTTTTCCCGTTGTTAGTCCTGCGACTTCGAAAGTCGGTCCATTGGGACCTGCCGGCACGGTTTTATTTAAAAGAATCGGACTTCCGTCCTCATCAGATACGACTTCCAGCTGATAACTGTGTATCGGAAGACCTCCATCGTAGCCCTCCAGGCATCGAACTAGCAGCCCTGTTCCCGACTTCGTACCAAGCTCCTCCATATCCAGAGGCGCTGACATTTCCGTAGCACTGCAATTGTGAAGAGCGTATGGTCGGCCCGCGGCTATAACCTGAAACAAGCAGACAGGAGATAAAGCGTATTTGCATTAGTCGACCAATACGCCTTTTATTGCATTACATATGACGCGGAATTCAATTTTTCGTTCCGTAAGAAAAAGATTAGACCGAGCAATACGTTCTTAATACCATATAATATTATGCATACAACTGCATAATTTAACAATATCGTTTAACGGTTATGTTTACATCGCGCATTCTTTTATATTGCAGCTTTCACAATAGGGAAGGAGCGATCGATCTTTCCAGTAGCGACTTTACACACGTTCGAAGACTCCTATGCATGTCAAATACGAGCACAGTTTGTATCGTCAAAGAAAGCAACTCCCGCATTCTTTGTAGATGCCGTCGATCGATCAAAATGAAAATGTATGGAGCATAGTGCTCCATGCCGGAGTATACAATGCATGAAATTTATGAAGGAAATAGCTAGCAACATGACGCACGTCGTGTAAATACTGGAATATTTGAGACATGCAGTACATAGAGATGATTTAACTATTTTTAGATCAAATATATCGATACAACAGAGAATTATGACCGGTGTAATGATTGGGAGCCATGTTTCAACTCTATCAATCAAAAGAATCCTTTGATATCAGATGAAGATAAAGTCCTATATTATGATTAATGATAAAACACTATTTCAAGGTTTCTAATAAAATTTCTTTTTGAGTCTGCTAAACATGAGCTATATAATGTAGCATAAATAACGACTGGAAATAAAAAGATTACGCAAAAAATGTTTATCGAGAATATTTGACAGGAACTTTGATATCAGGAGTAATTCATTATATACATTAATAAAGAAATTAACTTGTCGTATAGAAGAAAATTTAAGTTTTGCGATATTCTATAAATCGAGGTTCTATAAACCAGAATAAAACTTATATAAAGTTAGGGAAAGCTTTATATATGTTTACGTCTGATGAAAATATTCTATACATAAAATATAATAGTATCGACTATGACACAAATGTGATCTTTTGATGAAAATTTGATATGCTCGCACGTTAAGTTAAAAGCTCGAAATACTGAATCGTACGTTGAAAACCGCGTAAGTCGCTGGAAACGTAAAGAAGCGAAAAGGTACAGGCGGAAAAGTACTTGCCTGAAAAAGGCAAGGTGTTCGTTGCTTGCCAACCTGGTTGCTCGCCCAGCATGCCACCGTACCGTAATCCATTTCCGTAGCTGGTGTGTAGTTCAGTCTGAATCCACGAAACTGCTGGTACTCTTTCTGCCCGTCTGGTGTGCCGGGCGCCGATACGTGGGAGTAACGTGAATGTGGAACCTCGACGAGTTCGCCGGAATTATTGAATGTCCAATGGAAAGTCAATGGCGCCGGATGGCTCTCCACGGAACACACTAACGACACCGTCTCTTGTTTCAAAGCGCCAACCACCACCTCGCTCTTGCCCTCCTTGCACACCGGCGCATCTGCAAACAAAGTCGTCGTACTTTGCCAACGGTGGCCTTTCTACGAACAACGATGGAGTAGCGTAAAGTTTGAAGTACAGGGTGATTTATGACCCGCTTGTCAAGATTAATGTATAACAAAGTGTATGCAAGTCGACGTTCTTCTGCCTCGAGAAATTTCATTGTCCGATGATAAGCATAAAAAGGTATTCTGATTAATTTATGTTTTCCTAGGTCGCGCCGTATAATCGTAAATCAATCAACATTCCATTCTTGCCATAGAATAATTCTAACGACGATTTAAATGGATATTTGACATTACGTTTCGTTGCACGGTCGTTGCATTGATACTCGTGCGCGCTCGATAACTCGGCGAGATCCGCGAGTAACGTGTCAAACGGAAGAAGAAGCAGCTCGGTACCGTTCAGCCGGTTGCATGGTCGATCGATAGTCTAATAGGAAATTCCCTTGACACCGGTATTTGCGATAGGCCATGACATGCGGAAGTCCCACACGGCGGGAGTGATGATTTACGAGCGAAGGCTAGGAATCACGGATAGAGAGAGACTGTCTGGTTGTAATTTGATACAGTCTATGCGATACTAAATTAATTGCCAAGATGAGAAGTTTGAGAGATGCAGCGTTATGATATGTATATATCGACATATCACCAGAGTGGTATGTCTGTTTACTAAAGGATGATATCTTACGCAGACGCCTTGGAATAACGTCTCTTGAAGTTTGCGGATAAGAGATAGTAATAGAGAAATCAGGTCGATCTCTTCGCTTAATGCGACGTATTCTGAAGTGAAAATCACTTTGTGAAATGCTTTCTGAGACACGTCTCTATCGGTATATCTTACGATTCTTTTATAAACCAAGGATGTGATCGAATCGTTAATGTTTTTTAAACATTTTTCAACATAGCCTCCCCCTATCTTAATTATTTCACTTTCCATTCGTCAAAATAATATTTGTATACAAATTTATTATTTCATTGTTTCATAAGTCGTACAATTCGGAAAAATGTAACAGGTTTATATTTGTCGCAGATATATTTAAGAAGAGAAGGTGCAATTTCAATAACTTCACGATTTCTCTAAAATAACCAGACAAATTGTTAGGTCAATGTTTGTCTCGCTTATAAAATATTCAACAACTATGTCTTTCTTTCTTTTCTCTATTCTAGCGAAAACGGATTAAGTGTTACATAATAAATGTTCGAGAAACCGTAGAAGTCACCGAATTACAGTTTGTTAATTATTCAGTTAACAATCAATTATCATTTATTTATTATGAAGATAAGAATTGAAATTAGAAATTAAATAAGGATCGAGATCGCACAGAAATTATAACCGCCAAAAATTGTATCAATGCAAATGAAATCTATTAAATTAATAAAACAAACAAAGAAATTCTTATAATTATAGAGATTGATATGTCTGCGACAGAATTGCTACTATTACAGAACGTGTAAATTTTAATTTTTAATTCTGATTAAATTCAAAGTTATCAAGATTTAAATATATATTCAACACATATGTATAATAATAGATGTGTTAGCAAACTTCTAAATTTGTGAATCAAATGTGTGTTGACCGGGAAGCTTTCCGTACTTATACGATTTGCATTGCAAACACTTGAAGTTATTTAGACGAGAATCTATAGATCTTATTACGTTATACACTCGTATAGAATATGTATTGCAAGAACAGTTTTACTTTTCCTTAAAATCTTCGTCGGTTAAATTAGCCATTTTAAATTAGCCATTTTAAAATATATAATATTTTTTTAAATATATCAGAATAAAGCCAGTAATAAATTTTTGTATCTTATTACAGTAATAAAAAATTATTGATATAAATCTATAGCACGTCATCGGAATTTGTGTAATTGTGATGTTATGAATCACATTATAGAAGATAATGAGAAATATCTAAACAGCAATTCGAATAAAATGAACTTAAGGGGAAAATCTTTTGCACGGCATGTATGCGACTCGTACATGTGCAATATTATATGTGCAATATTGTGACGTGATCGCGGATCACTCGAAGTCCCATGTGAATGCAAAAGATCGACATCGTCGGCTTCGCAAGGGAGTTTGGAACATCAGGACAAATCCGCGATCTCCTTCAGTTACGTACGCCCCACCGTACGTCTGCTCCGGCCTAGCTTAGCACATTGCCAGCCTGCGTTCACCCACACATGAATATTCAGCTGCCCTTTACATACACTGAATATGCATCGCAGTCCTTCCTTCCCTCTTAGGTCATTTACAAGATGCAGATACGCCAGGCTGGCATCAGGGGCACCGACCATTCTAATAGAATAACCCGCGTTCCGTGTTTCACAGAAAACTATACACCCTATCTACCGTTCCCCCTTCATCCTCCACCCTTCCGTCTCTCTGACTTAAGTCGGGTTCGTTTCTCGTGCGTTCGACAAACACCCTGCTGCACTTGCCCCTGTGCACACCGCGGAGTTGCTTACCATCGATTAAGTAATTATCGAGGGATTGCAACTGCAAGCGGGAAATTAGGGAGCCGACGCGACATCGTGTTACGAAGGACATACGCTCCAATATTATTACGGCATATTGTTTACCCGAGTAAATTTTCGATCGAAATAATTTGGTTATTATTCGTAGAAAAACTTGTAATTGTATTCTCCACTTACACATTATCTGGAGAGACACCGGATTACTGGCCGTTTTCCCCTCGCTGTTTGCGGCAAGACAAGTGTAAGCGCCGGCAGAGTAACGAGTCAATCCTTGGAGTACCAAAGAGTGGTCGCTAAGAACTACACCTGCTGTAGAATTATTCTTCAATTCTTTGCCCTGAAACCACGTACAAATTGCAACAGAATTTGAATTTAATAGAAGTCCGTGTTCCTTAATTACAATTATAATGTAATTTGAATGCTCGTACACTAGCAGACGGAAACTGTATTGTAATAAAGAAGGCATGAAATGTATACATGCAAGTTATCTAATGGAGAACAAATTACATTTGCATAAAGCAGCGGGAGAATGAATGGTGCGCGGTTGTACAACAAAACGCAAATACATCGTGAAATGTTTTCTCGCGGATATCGAGATAGACACGCGAGTGTTCACGATACTTACATCTTTGAACCAGGCGAGCTTGTACACCTTCGGGTTTGCCCGCACTATACACTCAAAGTACACGTCGTCGCCCTCTTTGATGTCATCCGGATTCAGCGTTTCGCCCATTCTTAAGCTGACCACCGGTTGGTATTGTACGTCAAGCCGCCACTTGTCCTCCAACGCGCTGTCTGGTATAGCAGGATTTTCCGCGCGGCATGTCAAATATTTACCATCGTCCTCTATAGTTGGTATGAAACTGAGGATGCTCAAACTCTGATTGTTCTGAATCGGATACTGTAATTAAATATGCACATTGATTTTGAAATTGGCTGCTCCAACATAGCTGTGCCACGCGAAACCGAAAAACGAATTTGATTTTGGTATCGATCTTTTCGATATTGCATAACGAATAAAGCAGTTGATTTAGAAATCAAATATTTCCAAATTGCTTGAAACAGTTCAATATGTTCTAGATCTAGAGAAAAAAAAAAGCACAGTTCACATAGAATTTTTTCCAAGAAACAAGAGATTTCGAATTTTAACTCGTGCATTGCGCTATGTTCATATCGTATTCACAACGTACCACTTCGTTGAATTAATTAAGATATATGTACAACTTGATATTCAAATTAAAAAGTGAATCCGACCTATTAATCGGATAAACTAATCAGCCCATTAACAAACTCTGCTATCTTAACACGATTCGCACATTTCTCATTTCCCGCGTCGAAAGCGCAATTCATTTTTCATGCGGCGTCACGCGTTTGCTGCTAATATTAATTTAACATCGTTGGAAGCTGTTAGGCCAAAGTGATGCCGAAATAAAAGAGCGCCGGGAATTAACGGTTTTTCAAGATTTATGATGCTTAGAGCAACGACGGGAAATGGAGGTCGAAGCGGGTGCGGGTCACATCGCTGACGCTTCCTCTCTCCATCACGGCCCCTGTCCCTCCCGCTTTCACGATGTCATTTTAATGATAGCGCCATCGGGCATATATATCGGAAAAGCCACGTATCCGCATCAGTATAGCGAATACGATGAATGGAAGTAATGGTTCGTCAGGATGAATGTGGTACGTTGCTGTCTCTCACTCTCTTATACACCTTCTACCCCGATCGTGATGACTCGTCTCCTTCCCTCCCTCGTTCGCTCTCTGTCTCGGTTTCCCTATCTCCTGTACGCTTTTTTTTATAAGCTCCGCTGCGTTGTACTTTCAGTGCGCCTCAGTGCGACGCGATCGAATTTTCCGATAAAACCCTCTGGACAGTCCAACACACGAGCGTCGATATATTGCGCAGGTAGATCGTACGTGAACTGACGTTACGGTCACAACGTTTCGCATACCGAATGTTACTGGCGTAGTTTTTTCAAGCTTTGATTTCTAAGAGGATGTGAATCTTCATGGATATATGGAAAAACGCTTAACTGAATCCATCACTGAGAGAAAGGATTTTGTTAATTTAACTACCAGTACTATTAACAAATGATTTGTAATTGTGTGACAGTGATTGATTTGTTTTGATTGCTGCTTGTCTGCTGTACCAACTAATTATTAGTAACAGAAGCAAACTAATAGAACCCAATCCTATCTTTTGAATAGATTTTATTTGATAGCGACACTGATTATTTTGATTATTTGTTACAATGAATAATGAGAAATGATTTGCAACGTCATTTCAGTTGTTCCTATAAAGTCATGTTTCTCAGTGATCTTATTAACTCGGAAGTAGTTACTTAATTTTCTTCACGTAAAAAATTATTTACAGAGTTTTTCAACCCCAATTAAAATTATTCTTATTAGAAACGTATTGTATTAGTGATCGTTTTCTGACTTTTTTAGTATTTGAGAACATTATGGAATAATAACAATTTTCTAAAAAAAAAAGTAAGTAGAAACCAAACAAATATTAAATTGTATAATTTTAATTAATATATCTTTTTTTTTATTGGATTTTTATAAATTGAAATTGCATAATTTAAAAATTTGTAAAGAAGTTATTAAAAAAGAAAAATATATGTAATATCTATATAAAATAATATTTTATAACAATTCATACTTTTTTGTTGCTGAACCGAATTGTACTATAAAAATTCAGGTAATTATTCCCGAGTTAAATCTCATATAATATCTAGATCTTTTCCATGCTTTCATAAAAAATAATGAATTTAAGATTCTAAGATAACACTAAAGCGCATCAAATATTGTATATAGAATTTGCAAAAGACAAATGCAGCCAATTTTTTTATAGATTATTAGGCCAAAAAACGCATTTTTCTCTTACTTTCTATTGTATTATATATAGGAATGAGAGAGATATTCTCTCATAAAAACATGTTCAGTATTTTTAATTTATAACGTAATAAACAAACGTATTTCCCTACGTAATAATATGAAAAAATTCGTAACAACTTTTGTGAAATATCGCGATATATTATATATATGCAGTAATGGTCGTCACGAGTGCTTCAAACATTTTCGCTCGTAAATGATCATGAAATAATAGCGCAGTAAAAATATATGATACAAGCATAAAACGGTAATGTCGTCCTGTTACCATAGTCACCATAAAATTCTGATACATGAAAATGCTGAATACATTTTATTAACGAAGCTTAATATACTTTTACGTATTTCTGTGATCTATATAATATAATAAAAATAATACAAATTTCAAATTATTTTAATGCTTATTTTGTAAGCTACGTAGATATTAAATAAAATAAAATACCTTTTTTCATAAAATTATTAAAAATCCTAATGCAAATTTTATTATTTTGCTATGAAAACTCATATTATTAGGTTCAATTATGTTATATGTTGTTTTATTTATAACAATATAGGTGAATGGTAAAATTATCATTTATTGCTTCATTACTGTTAACCAACCATAGTTATAATATCGATCGGTTGCATGTCACTTTAATATCTATGCATAATTATCTTGAATATTTAACATCATGAATATGCGCTATAGATACATATCATTTAATGATTACAAAGACACCGATGAATGTTTCATATTTGCTATTTCAATTGTTAAACTTCAATAACCAAATTACGATGTTGCATTAATTAAGAAGAGATGACAAATACGTTTGTTATTTACTAAATCGATTATAATATCGGTCGATGTACGGTGTATTTTTACGTGAAAAAACATGCTCGTGAACCACACGACGTGAATTTGCAAGAATAGTTTCCTGAAGTAAAGAGAATAGTTATATTTGGGAAAACGTTTTAAAAATTTAGCTTTCTCAAGTATTACTGAAACATTTCGTGCTACAGGCGGTGAACGAAGGCATCTACGTCGAAAATAGAAAAAGAAAGTTAAGTCTCGAAAGTTTATGAAGCGAAGATCCACTGGATCGTTCGTGAACTTCTGTACACTCTCTGTCACTGCGGAAGGAGTGCCGGGGTACGTTGGGAATCGAGGCGACAGGATGAACGGATGAATAAGGGGGAGGGAAGGGGTCGAGAAGTCGCCCTCAAGAAAAACGAAATAACTGCATCGTCCTAACTTCTGGACGAATCGTCGTAAACTGCGGCAAGTTACGGGACGTCGATTTCAAGAATTTTTCCCCGAATTGTGCGGCGCACTTCAGCAATGCTTTCCGTTAACCGTTTTTTCAGGATTCGACGACATGAATGTTCGCATCTGGCAGAGATAATACAAAACGCAGGGAGAGATAATACAAAACCACTCGGCGCAACTTTTCTGAAATTAGAGTACTCGGTAGAAGAATGGATCAACCACATTTTTCCGCAAAACGCGTGAGCAATTTTGTCGACTTTTTCTCAAATTTCGATTTTGAAAATTGCCTTTAAAATTATATAAATATATTTAAATACTTAGTATCTACGTATATAATTATCGTCGTAATATTAATCCAATTACAATACCATCTAGAAAATTTAGTATGTGCAATGAAAAATATAATTTTATCTTTAATAAAGTAGCCTTACTGAAATAAGAAAAATAATCGTTCCACATATTATCAAATTATCGTTTAAAATATCCTTTAGGGGAAAGTGGGGGAACTGTGCGCATCTTGATTTGGTACTTTTCCAATGGATGAAGACATCACTGTGGTAAAATTTTTATGCAAGAGATCGTCCTCTTAAGATATAACTACAAAAGATACGACATAAATACGTTTGCTAACCAGAGAAATACAAAAAAGTAAAATCACATCTTTTCTTGTTATTTTAGTAGTCAGAAAATAAGGTAGTACGTTAATATTTTTGTTTGATTAAAGTTGCATACGTTATTAAAGTATGTTATTATGTGCATCTTTTGAGCTGTTATTAAGCTTGGTTAAGAAATGTTGAAGTAATCGTATTTCATATCGAGTCAGGTCGCGGCGGGCAACTATGCGCAAGCGTTTTGAAGTGTGCACAATTACTCATCTTCCATATACTATGATTAATTTTTTCGTTTTTTCTTTGCATTATTATTTTATTTTGCCATTTTATTTTGCCAAAGTCTATATGTATTATTATTATATTAGTTTTATATTTTTGCTTAATATATATTTAAAATATATTTAATATATATTACAATGTAATAAATATATTTTCTTATTTCTTTGTCAACATTCCATAATTCATTTATTTCCTACGACTTTAGCTTTGCGCACAATTATCCGACGCGCGAGAAATTTTTTCGCTTTTCCGTTTCTTCCTTTTTATCAAATACAATTTTATTAAATAAAAATCTGTTTGATATGAGGATACGTAATGGTAGAAGAATGTTTATATTTCTATTTTCATATTTATATCGCTTTGAACTTCATTCCAGGACAATAAATTTCCCTTAGGTGCGCATAATTCACCCACTACCGTTTAAAATATCTTTTTCCAAAATAAAGTGAGAAAAAAATTTACATCGCATCGCAAGTCCAATACTTGAATTTAATCACTCTTAATTTTACTCGCATCTTTTTATAACAAAAGTACTATAAATTAATTTTCGCCGTTAAAAAGTTACAGATTAAGTGTCACCATTTAACACCTTCAAATAAAAAGTCTGTGAGAGGAATTTTTATAAAGTAGCCTTACACAAACAAAAAAATTATTATTTCACATATCAAATTATCGTTTAAAATATCGTACAAAGTAAAGTAGAAAAGGGATTTATTTTAAGTATTTGAATTTAGCCGATCTCAATTTTACTCGCATCGTTTTGTAATAAAAGTATTAAGATAAATTTTTGTTTCGTCAGGATTTGAACTACCAATGGTTTTACTGCAACAATGAAAAACGTGTTTTGTTTTCGTGTAAGTAGACTATAAAACGCTTTATTTTTCAGGCTTTTTTGTTTCTAAAAAAAGAGATATTCTAATTTAATGAATAAAAAAATCTATTTTTCGACCAACAAAAAATACAATTTTCATGCAACGTAAGTTGTGTACATTTACTATTCATAGAGGTGTTTTGTTATTTAAAAAAGCAGATAATGCTTACATATCAAGTACAATATATGTACAAGTATATCTTATAAGTTGAAAGTTTTTATTGTATTGCTTATTTTTATTTTTTTCTCTTTGTTGTATTACTTAAAAAAGATACACATTGAACAGATAGTTATATTTTGTTAAACATTCTGTGCATGCAGAGCCAAGTTTCTGTTATGGTGAATCTTAATTTAATCAAGTTTATTCGGATAAATACTATTTCGAAATTGCCCACCGACTTTATCAAGTGAAATCGTGAAAACGACTCTTTGTTACTACAAAAGCGACGATATATGCTCAGTTTTATATCAGGAAAAATCCGAAATAAGATTAAACAGTCGAAAATAACAACGAAATCGGCTATTTACTTTTTGAGAAACGTATTCGTGAAATTATCTCAAAATTTCGTCGCTCGGCAAACTGAATGAGTATGCTTCACGAAAGACAAAAGAAATGAAAGAACTGTATAGAAATCGTTTAAAAATTGCGACTAAAATCTTGCTCTTCGTACGGCGATACATTTTAATTATTTAACTCTGAAATTTACGAGGTAATCGTGCACTTAATCTCAAAAAATCGTCGTATAAGGTCTTATAAAAAATAAATGTTATCTAAAACAGAAGTTATTCTTATCGCTCATCTTTATTCTTTGTACTACTGAAATAACGTATAAAACGCTTTCTTGATCTCTGCGACGAAAAATTTCAAAATTCGTTTATAACTGCAGTTTTTTTTTACAACAATTATTAATTATATGATCCATTTTTGGGAACCTGCTATATCTAGATTCTAGAATAACACGTAGCTCTAACGTAATTATTTAAACAGTATATTTTTGGCTCTATTAAATTAACAATGTAAAATTATAATCGTACTTTCGTGAGCAATATTAACTTTAATGATGTCAGTATCAATTTCAATTTTAACATTATAGAAATTTTAAGTAGATCTATAACTAAAATTTGAATATCTCTCTATATTTAAATGCATGACTGCAGACATAAAAAAATACGAGGTATTATCTAAAAAGAAAGTGAATAAATTTTAAAGAGATTACTCTACGGGGAGTCGATGATTGTTGGGTATCATTGCTAAATCTGAAGCTTTCCTTTCTAAATAAAAATTAATTTTTGATCCTAATGTTATAAATGTAACGAATAATTATTTCATATTTATTAAGAGGACTTAGTTTTACAATTACAAAATTATTTAACAACATTTTACAAAGTACAGGTTTATATATATAGCTCAAGATATTCTTATCGCTTTCAAGTATATAATGAATATTTAATATTTATATCGATCGAGTGCAATCAAATTAGTCAATTCGTAATATAACGTTGGTGTCACATGGTCGTAAATTCCGACGCAAGCTCATGCGTCGCCACGGCTAACCACTCGTACAACCCCTAATTGCCATTAGTTGGTAGCCACTTCTCCGAAATTGGCTCCTCCGTTTCGCTCTGTGCCCTCGACCTGACGCACACACGCACTTATTCCTGTCTACGAATAGATATGATGACCCTCACGATAGTCCGGCCATAAATTTGCACTTGTAGAAACTTTCGTTCATTCGTATAATCAACTTTCGCGTTCACTCATCCGATGATCAAGAGTCCATTTGATCAGCTTAGTACTGCGAGCGCAATAATATAATCTAGTGCGGAAATCGCTTTGTTGCGCACACAATGAAGAATCGGTGCAATCTATTTCAAGTAGACGTTTCGCGCGAGATTAGGTTTTAATTAAAACATGTCGACAGCGCGATTACGTTCGAGAATAGCTTAGTTTTGTGCAAGGTGGATTTGAAATACGTATGAGGGGGTCTGATAGGGGTAGCACAGATTGTATTGACGGGAGCATCATTCGATACGCCGGGCATACATCGCGTGTGTACGTCGATCGTGATCGCGCATCACAGTGCCCGAGGAACGAGGAGAAAGGATTGTATCTATTTTCGACGTTCAATTAGAACAAAAGCACGCAAAGCCGGTGTGCAATTGCTTGGACGAGAAACGATGGTTGATTCCTGCTACGATATCCGGTAGAATCAACCCTTCGACATTGTGGTTCTATTGTCATTTGTAATTTAGCGATCGCCGACAGCTTTGACAAATTGCTCCACTCTATCAGTCGTGTTAGATATCGTGTTCGCACGCTTGGCTTTAGTGTTTTCCTGAAGCGGCTTGTTAACTTAGCTCAGAACTGTCCATTACGATCAAGACTTAGCTTGAAAATTCGAGACGAAAGGAATACGTTCAATAAAAGCTGATCCTGAAGCCGTAAAAGGAATCTTCAAGATCGTATATATTCTTACGTCTAATAAAACGTTGCGTTCGATTCAGCCTCAACCTCGCAACAAATCAACCTCGCAACAAATCAATACGACAAGGTACAAGTGTCGTTCTTTTTTTTCACCCAAGTAGAGTCCTCGGTTTTGTCATTAACCGTGTAATGCGCATTTATCAAGTTTTACGCGCGTATTATCGAAGTGAGGCAGCGGCGCGATGCCATGCGACGAATACCGGTGAACAAACGTTTGTGAATTAACGTTCGCTGCGAGCCGAGCCTTAATGGTTTCACGCGTGTTTACCGTGGCGTTATCGTTTGTTCGAATAATTCTCCACCAGTCGACGCCCCCGGCCGGGGGCACTTATCAAACCGACGCTCTTCGCACCTTCCCATTTATTTCCAGACGGTTGAACAGCCACCTGCTCCATCGCACGACTCTCGACCGAAATCAATGCCCCCGAGAAACCGTCGACGATGAAAAGCGCATGGCCCACGTCGAGCAGAAGAAATCTTTCGGTCTTATCGGGGAACGAGGTCGAGATAACTCCCCCCCTGATGAATGACGATGATGTCATAGAAACGTGGCCCAGCTGGAGAGACGGGATTATTAATTATTATCGAGCGAACAGTTCCCGAAACGCATAACCGCGCACGAATGAATGTTTCGCGTGCAAATAATGTGCGTACTAGCGCCGATGCACGCACAACTGGATACGAATTAGTGCAATTGCAATTGGCAAGTCCAGCGAGCCGTTTATCACATTGATAGCAACTTTAATTCTTAACGTCGCGTCGGCACGAATTGCAACTAAACGCTGCGTAGAAAACGCGCCCACTGTTTCACCGTTGCAAAAAATTTATGAACAAAACGCATTTGCATGCTACGTCACAGACACTCCGGACCACTCCGACAGACTTCGTCACGCCAGTCTCGTCACGCGTTTCGTGCCCACTGACTTATTTTTCACATTCTCGCCGATCGAATCTTGCTATGCAACAGCGCAATTATAGTCGTGTCCCGATATAAACTGTCTAAAAAGTACTAAAAATCTGTGTACATAAATTATAGATTTTCAATATTAGCAGTGCGTATCAGAGTAGAGCTGCTGCTATAAAATGTCACGGCACGACAAAAGCTTTAGTCTGTAATTTATCTTTTGTTATGTAATAAAATTTCAAAATCTTTTTGAATTAAAAAGTTATTACAAACTTATATCTTCACAGTCTTTAGAATGAGAAACGGAATCTCGTTTCATCAATCTCACTCAATCGAGATAAACTTCGAGGGCGAAAAGTTAAATCTTGATGAAAGGGATAATTTATTGTTCAAAGACGTTTAATAGCTCATTAAAATTTCAAGATGATTTATGTGGCGGCAATCAAGAATAAATTGATACGTATTCAAACAGGCGGAAACGTGGGCACGCATGCTTATTATTATTTGTTCTATCGACCGGATTCGGCATGCATCGCAATGTACGAATTAATAGGCATCACCCGTGGGAATGTACGAAATTATTCATACAAGAGTATACCGGCGACTAGTTACATATACTGTCTGATTATTTATGTTTGATATAGGATTAGTTGTTCGTGTGAACTATCTGCATAACTATCGCATGCAATTCCTTGAAACAAAAGCAATCGTCAACATCAGTTTGTAACTTGAAGGAACTGTAATAAATAAATTTATGTACACAAATGTACAACATTCATTTTTATATGCAAACCGAAAAAACGACGTATTTGAAATAAAAAAGAACGATGGCTTGAAATAAAAAACTATTATGTTTGTTAGAAACAAGAAATTATGATTACGTCGAAACATACACAGACTTTGACAACGAAAGTCATATTTTTCAAAGTCATATCTTCGCGTTCGGTGTGAAACGCAAAATGTACTTTATAACTGCAACTGATATACCGGTCAATAGAGGATTTCTAATAAAATTAGTACACGTGTAGAACGAGGAAAAGTAGTGTTTCTTTGAAAAAAATTTTCTCTATACCGTTACTAATCGTGCTATTAAATAAAGTTAACGTGCGCTGCAACACGTATCGCGAATCGCTCGATTAATCCGCGCGTCTCCCTTAACGTATGCGACGTGAGATTGCCAGGAGTGTAGGCGCATGCAACGTGCGATCGGCGAGATCAATCGGCCCACGAATTAGCGCCTCTTGCAGCTCCGTCAAGCACTAATGCTTTTACGCGTGTTTACATTAACGTTATCGCCGCCGGTCCGAATAGTTTCTTCCCACCCTTTCGCGGTCCTCCGTTTTCTCCTGTCTGTGGTACGACGTTACTGGGTCATTACAAGTCGAACCCTCTCCAGCCGCCGCTTACACGATATCTTAGCGCGTTGCGCGAGTAGATACCTTCTTCTTACCTCCGCCTTCTTCTTACACACGCACCCACCCACGCGCGAGACACCCATACGGAGTAATTACGCGCCCACAGACGTGCACGGCGAGGTCGTTCTCCGTCACGTCTATCGACCGACGCCGACACAACGCTCGCCCGACGAACACAGACGCGCGCTGTCGCACGCCAAGTGCTCACGAGGAAACACGAAATCGAAGCTGCGGACCGGGAGGCACGCGATTCACTGATCCGTCTTGCGAGAGGCGTTACCGTTATCTCCATCGGCCAATCTCGTCCGGACGACTAATAGGTTCAGTACGTGAATACCTTGGCCCGGCTGTAGGACCACGTGAAAAGGTACCTCCGATAGGTACGTATACTCCCTGTGACCGTCGAGGCAATTCGCCAACGGTGTGCGACACGTGGGAGCTGCCTAAAATCGTGTGAGCGCGAAAGCGAAGGAAAACACCGATTTGCATCGATCTCCACTGGCGAATTATTCTTATGAATTCGTTTCATCGAGCAACGTCGGATTCTGTCAATTAGTACATCGTTTGATACGCTGCTACATATGACGTCTTTCAGGTCGCAAGCTGGCGGAGAAGAGATTTTGTACGTGACAAACGAGGGTTGTCAGAAGTGAGTTATAATCCACACGCTTACATTTGCAACTAGCGTTGTATCAATGCGTTAAGGGTCAGCGACTTCATTACGAAGGTAGACACTTGTCGCTTCGTAAAAAGAAATGAATGACATTCAGGAAGATATTCCTAGGTAGGGAAATACACAAAACGTGGTCAAATGTTTTTTCTTTCGTAAAATACGCGCGTCAACTTGTCGGTAATTTCATGTCTACCTCAACGCGCAAATGGAGAACTCTCGTAGCTCGTTATGCACGCGATAATTGCGTACTTACATTAATGATTACATGGAACTACGTATGTGCAGCACTTTACGTCCACTGGGCACGTTTACGTTTAACGGCTGCGCTATATTACGTATAGTAAAATATTAGAAAATGTAAACAATAATTTGTTACATTCCGCTGCGAAGTTATTATCGAAAGTAAAAACGTAACGCAAAAACGAGTTTTGTAATGATACATATTAAATATAAACGAGTTCTTTGACGATATGTCATTCCGAGTATCAGTCATATCGTATTAGTCTGCAAAGTACCTGGTAATAATGCTAACAAGTTTTGCGTACAACTTTTTTTTATTTTAAGATAATTTTTTCTCTTAGGGCAAATTGGATTGGCTATGGCGTCCCTTTGATAGATTGCGATTCCCGTAAAAACATGTTTAAGAAACCGCATTGCATGCAACATTAAAAAGATTGACAAAGTAGGTCGCGTAAGTAGAACATTTCTCGATCGTCATTCACAGTATGGACGTGCATTAAGGTAATCGGAGTTTCGTTTTAAACATCACTAGGAGGGGCCTTTGTTTTTTTTTTTTTTTTTTTTGCACGAAACGATCGACGTGCTGACTCAGCGCTAATTCCCGCTTATAGTCTATTACTCGATGGACAGCATTCGATTCTCTTCTATAATGTTAAGACACTATTTGAGATACGCAATCACCGACTTTGTAATGCTGGATCTGAATTACGCCGAATGGATATTTTTATCCGGCACATTCATTAAGTCATTTGGTAGATGTCACTGTGAAAAGCAAATGTCGTACGTTGTCATAACATTACAAATTAGAATTACACTGTTACGACACATGCGTAAATTTAATGTCATGCGTAATTGGCTCACAAACTGGAGAAAATGAAAAATAAAACGAACAAGTAACACACAATCGCAATAGAATATCGCCAAACAGCACAAATAATTATGGATAGAACATAACAGGATCGTCAAATGACTTACGATTCATTTCGAGGACGAGCAATCTGGTTTGTGGTGGCACCAAGTTCGTATTGCTGGCCTGACATATCAGCCTCGCCTGGAGGTGTTGTCGCCCAATTTTCGGATACGCCAAGTGGTTAACCGTTAACCTGCCCTGGGTATCGTAGTGATAGGACTCGTCTATCACGGTATTGTCGAGATACCACGTCAGCTTTGGGGGCGGCTTGCCACCACGAACCTCGCAAATCAAGTTCACGTCGCTCCCCTCGTTGTACCGCTCCTCGAGGCCCCAAATAGCCTTCGTCGCTCCATCCAATATTACAGGCTTCGATGGAGGCACTGTGCGAACAGCATGCGTCGTTAAAATTCAACGTGAATACCAATCGATCGTTCGTCTAGTAAAATGACAGTCAGCGCGGGAGATGCGTCGAATGCAATGGGATCCGACAGAATTTTGGCGTTGTAGCAGAATTAACTGTTATAATGGCCGCAAAACAGGTCGTAGTTACGAAGTATATTACCGCCGCGGCAGTTCCTAGTTTGCGAGGCAAACCGCGGCTTACACTGAGATTAATTTATGCGCCGGGAAGTGGTGAGTTGGTAAGTCAACGCTTACGATGAAATGTATCGAGCATAAATGTATATCTAAATCAAATGCGCGCAAACTCTACGTATCGTGTAACGAATTGAATGGTTACATTCGTTAAATAAACGTTAAATTATACACCGTAAAAGCGGCCTCGAGATCGCTTCTTGCTTCGATACTTGACGCGACCTCCATTACCACGCCCTGATCAAAAGGACTGACTTTAATTGTTGCGTGATCACTGGTTGATTGAGTTTCACCGGGATACAATGCTCTCACCTATAACGGTTAAGTTCATCCTTTGTTTCCGTGTCGGCGAGTTTCTGAAGTCCACCCGGCACCGATAGATCCCCTCATCAGTGCTCTCCAGCCGATCAATGCTGAGGTGAGCTGGATTCGTCGCCGTAACAAAAAAAGCTCTTGGTCCCAATGCCGAGGGCGACGACCAAAGACGGGCGTTACTGTATTGCCGGCGACCGCGAACGTCGAAGCTAAAATAATCGATTAGCTTTTGTAGTAATTCAGCCATCGCAATTCCATCATTTTGCAATTGTTACGAGATACTTTATGAGTGTATTACCGATACATGCTATATTAATTATTGATGCTTCACGTTATATGAAGTTTCAATGTTTTTCGCTAATAGGCACAGAATACTAGAACGATCGAATACGCGTCGTAATAAGAGTCAGTTTATCGCTGGTAATTACCGTTTTGCTTGTTATTCATGTATCAAAAACTGTACCAATTTAATTACATAATTTGCGATGTAATTGCAGCATATCAATTGAGATAGCATACTGGCGTCGTTATTAAAAGCTTGTCGTGATTGAATTAATTACATAAATTAGATAAATAATGAACGTATGTATGCTGGGTACTTATGATCAAATATACGATATTCGCTTCAAGATTTCTCGTCAATTACAAAATTTGATATCTTTCATTCCATTAAATACTCGTATCTTGAATTACCTCTAAGTGGAATATTTAAAAAAATTATGATCAGCACAATTCAGCACTACTAATTTTATAATACCTCGTATTAAATACTTATGATATAAAATCTAATATAAAATTGCTACGTCATTTTTTTGTCTCATTACATGAATAAAAGCTTTAGAAACAGACGGAAAAATTAACGAACCTAGCTAGTAGACTGAAAGATTAAATTCGAAACATTATTCTCGTCTTTCGTGCTCCATGTCGAGGCTCACGGTTGCACGTGGCCTTTCCAATGCACGGCAAGCTTCGCTGAAGAATCGTTCGTGGAACTACGATTCGAGACTGATGATTCGATAGGGGCACGTCTATATATGGGGAGTCACATGGGAGTCGTTCTCAGTGCGTGATTGCATATTAAGCATCCGCGGTGAGCGCCAGAACAGGAGTAAAAAGAGACAGATTAGAAGAACAGTCCAGGGATGTATAAGAGAGCGAGCATGAGACAGAAAGAAGAGAGGTAACTCAGGAGGGAGAACGCCAGGCATAGAACCCTTCACGGCTTCTCGCGAGCGACTAAAAGTTAAATTGCGTTCCGCGACTGCACGAGAGTTCGGATTTTCGCTCGTGACTGAGTAGTCCCAAAGCTATCCCACCCTCGCGCTTGCTTCCACGGCATTGACGTTGAAATACGATTTAATTCTTCCACTTCGCACTTCCAGTGGACGAGGAGGGCACTTCCGTGACGCGTCCCACCAATGTTGCCTCTACCCGCCTCGTTGTCGTAGACAGGGTTGTGGGAGGAGGGCAGACCTCGAAAGAAAGGTCGAGCACACGTTCCACGAGCCGTCGACCAGCACGAGAACCGCTCGCGGATATAACACGTTCGACTTTTCTCGCGCGCGATAATTCCTGAAAAGCGATTTTCCCATATCGGTCCTCTGACTTCAACCCTAGCATTCATCGACAGCGAAACGACTCTCAAGATCGATCGATCGCCCGTCTACTCACTCGATTCGTCGATCACAACCTGAGAGGCTGATTCGTCGACATTTTCTGGAACGGCATCGCCCAAAGCCGTTTCTTCGTTATCTCGGGAGATTACAGAGCGTAGATGAACTTGTGTTGCTCTTTTTATAACTCGCGAAATCTATTTGTGAACGAAGTAACGCACGTCGTACTGAAACGTTGAGTAAAATAGATGAGTACGATTTACAGATAAATTTGATAAGACACATTTGTAGATGTATCGAAATTTAATTTTGTTCATTTCTGTTCTCGTATTTAATATCGCCATTTTATATCGTTTGATAAAAATAATATAAATTTCGATGGCTTATTACGATAATATCTTAAGCAATATTTGAGAGCTCTGCAAGCAAACGCATCTCTTGTCGCGTTTCACACATATGTATTATGTAATCGTTAAAGAATCGATCACTTTCAAGTTCTCACGCGAGGAAAGAAATTCACCAGGTCTCTTCGGTGGGTCTAAGTGTCTTGAAACTTTCCTAAGAGAAAACGTGAAATGGAATTGAGTGGATTCGATTTTGCGAAGTGTTATCTATTAAGGTAAAATACGAAGACCGCGCGAGAGATTGTAAATATTACCGAGCGTTTTGTTCGATCAAGACGCTGGCTGTTCAATATTACAGTAATATTGAAACTCAAAAATCTAGATCTACGATCGCGAACAAATATTCATATCATGAAGAATGCAGTCAATCGTATAAGCTCCCTCTGCCCTTCCATTTTCTAAGTAAATGAAAAACTAGATGAACTCTCTTCGTACCGATGTAGATAGGCGAGGAAAGATTCAATCGTCTTCGAGGATTATGAAAGTTTTGTTAAATCAATAAAATTAACTAAAGAGAAAGGAAAGAATTGCTTCTTTTTCTTGAATAAGTTATAATGCGAGGAAATCTTGATGAGACGACGTGCACGTCACACGAGTTACTCCTATCACGAACGGAACATCGAATACATGTGTAAGGAAAATACTTCGAAGGAGCTATGCGCGATCATGCCTACGTAACATCGCAGTTTCCTTTCCTTAACTGTCTCGTGTACATACGATAAGAGGGCACGATGTCACACAATAAATATTTTACTGCAAGAGATCCTATGAGGAAGAGTACGTTGGCGAGGCCAAGGGGGAGACGGTTTTAGTACGACGGCCGCCTTTAAATTTAAAGTTCTTCGTCGTGGCGAGGATTAAACTGACTTTACAACAAACGACGACTTGCACCCTCCTCGCACTAAACGCCGGCATCCTTGGCGTCGCTTCGCATACACTTTCCGTCGTCCTTCTACCCCGAGACGATGCATCGCCAACCCCCACGCACATATCTTACACCTTATTACATTTCTTAAATATGACCCACCGGATACTAACGTCAGCCCCCTTTCAGCCGCGGCAACTCCTATCCTACGACTGCGGCGCGGCGGTGCGCCGACCGCCATTCTGTATGCAAAATTTCACGGGCCGTGGGAGCGAAACGGCAACCCCGAGTACCGAATGAACTTCGCTGTGGAAAATAACGCGAGGAATTTCCAGACTTGAGCACTTGAACTCATTTCTTTTTTATTTCTACGAGAAAGTGCGCTTTATAGACGATATAAATGACTCTCACATTCGAGAAGTTTTTCTCAGCATTTCGCTCCGACACATTGAGATCGTACAGTGAGGATTAAAAGGCTCTTTGTATGAAAACAATTTTTTTGTAATAGAAAATACGATAATTTAAGGACTTCGAAATCTTTAAACATCAATCAATTTTTAATTCATGATAGATGTCCGAAATCTTACCTGTAAATCGGTTCGTCTCTGCCTTCTTTGTACCAAAGCACCATGCTGATTTCGTCGTTATTGATGGAACGAATGTCACAAGGGAGCTGCACCTTGTTTCCGATTACACCGTCAATGGCAACGATTGGTACTGCAACAAGAAAAAGATAAATTTGAAATAAATTTACTTTTTCCTTTAAATAAGTGTAATCTTTTTTAATTCCTCCGAATATATATTTGTCATTCTAATTCGATTGATATAAATTATACTTATAACCATAATTAAATTTATCAGTTAAAGCTACGCAATTCAGCGAGAAATTGTATATTCGATATATCAATAAAAATGTTATAAATTCTATGACTATTTGTTTTTTTCTTATTAAAGAGTAGCTGCTTAATTCACAAGAACGCGAAAGCTAACTGTAATCTCGATCTTTGAGCTTTTAACAAGGTATCTACAATATATATAGCACAAAATATTTCTACGGTAAGTAAACCGCTGGTATAATGCGGTTTTCATAGACAAGAAAACACCAGGATTAGGTCTCATTACACGAGAATTTAGTGGTGATGTACATCCTGACGGTTAAAGGGGCGCTCATACCCGAGCTTAACCCCCACCATTCTCATCTATGATAGGATAGACAGTGGTTAACGGTGGTTTGATGTCGCTGTGGTTTTGTCTGCTCGATTAGATTTACATGTAGATGGAGATATCGCGTTTTAATGAGCCGGCTCCTCCCTATTTTCCCTCTCTTTCTCTCGTCCCCTGACGATGACGTTGACGCTATCTTTCCGCGAGTTCCCTGACGTCTCATCGGACTTTTCGATCGCTTCTCGAGAAGAAGCATCGTGCCTCAGGAGCGATCGTTCCCAGGGATCCCATCGATCACCACACTAGTATTTCGTCGCTCGACGTCTGATCGCAACAGGGTCGGCCAATCTCAAAGTCCACGGATTTCCGTCTTAGACTATAAAGCGCCGACACTTCTATAGGTAAAAAGGGGATGAGGGAATGTCCGATGGCGACATGTTGAAGGCGTGCACGCGCGCAGGCCTGTATCTTCACTTCTAAATCCGCAAAGATATTGCATGAACGTGCGAAGTGTTTGCTAAAGGATTCAGAGCAATCGTGCTGAATACTCTGAATCTGAAATTAGAATACTAGCTCCGACTTTCAGCGGATCGATATGAGAAACGCGATAAGCAAACATACGCTGAGCACAGTCGCCCTTCTGCCTCGCGTTTATCCTAACTTGTAGTATCGTAAAGTACCTACTATTGCGTACATTAGCAAACAGCAACATTAGATCTTAATCCCGTTATTATACATACATGTTAATGTGCTAATATACTCGTATTAACACGTATATATGTATAGCGTATTAGCCTCGTTAAATAAATACTAACTAAGAATATCTTTTATTTTTTTCTAATTTCTTCCTAATTTTTATTTATTTCATATTTCAACGTTATAAATAATACACAGAAAGAACAATTTTGCTGAGAGATCTAAAATTTCGTTGAATACAAATCTGAAAATAATTATCATGTTGGACCGTCAAAATAATTATGTTGGAAACTAAAAAATGATAAGCAATGTAGCAAAAAATTTTGATATTCTAGGAATCAGTTTGAATTTCCAACAAAATTATTTTTAAATTCGTATCCAACAAAGTTTTAAATTTTTTAATAAAATTTTCTTTTCGTATTTGTACAGAGAGAGAGAGAGAGAGAGATACTAATTGAAATTATTACTTCATCTCTCATCTCTCAATTATTAATATCAACGTGCTTAATATAATATAATATAATATAACCTAAATGTATGCATGTAACAAAATGACATTTATAAGTCGTATGCAATTGCATTTTTTACTTATTACAGGATTATGATGTCTTCTCATTACGGGAAACGATTCAACGGATCGTAAAGCGCGGAAACATTCTTTCGATCTCATTTAATCCTGGGAGAAGTTTCGAAGCGGTCCGGAAGGAAACTCGAGGAAGCTTCGGGCAAACTTGTGGAACGTCCGGAGGCGTGACAAGCGTCGCACGCGAAACAATTTCATTTATCACAAGAAAAATAGCGGTTTAACTCTACGAGTGGGCGTATCATACATTTTCCGTGAGTTCGAGAGAATGAGAGGCAAAGGGCGGACAAGGCAGTAGAAAATGGAAGAACACCGAGGGCAGGTCGTTTCTTCTTTGTCGTCATGACCGACGATGAGGAGGGCACGAACGCAAGTGTATTAGCGTGGATGACATCCTCGACGCTATAAGTCATCACAGTACAGTTTATTGTGCTCTCTGCCAGCACTTAAAGAAAATACAGGACGACAATTGTCAGTGTGTCAATGCCTCGGGTCGTCTCGCGATGGAATGGAACGGAATGGAACATGCGATTCCAAATAACTAGAACGTGCGTTGTTGACGCTAAAAATTTGCATCGCGGATGAGGCTACCGATACGGCATCACGAAAGCCACCGACGGGAAAATTATTACCAGACTAATTGGTAGACGGAAATTGCCCGTAGCGCGGATAACCGTGGTACTGCCGCATTAAAGTTCGCAATGCCGTCACTCGCTGAAATACGCGATTGCCTCGTAAAGATAATTCTGAATGTTTTCCCGGCGTCGATCGATGAACTGCACTCGTTGAATCCACGTAATGGATCTATTTTTCGCGAAAGAACATAAACGAATCTATCGACACACGATTTCGTACTCGTCGTGTGATCGTTATTATCAGTAACGTGTGTCCTTCTCATTTTGATGCATATTTAACGACTGCTCCGTCGTGATGGATGCCATCGGCGTTTCTTACTCCGTGTTGCTTACACGAATACTCGAGTCGTGACATGTATCCACAGTGATGATGAATTCTAAACGCCTACGTCGTTCTCGGTAGAGATCGTTAGAGAAGGAGTTGTAGGGTTAATAAATAATCTTTCTACGTGGAAAACGAATCCATCAACTTTTACTGTTACTCTCGTTAACTACACGATTGGAGGCAACATCAAACGTACGCAAGCATACGCCCTGGGTCTAGTCTTCCTTTACTGAGCGGGAAAACCATAAATAAGTAATCTTCCCGTTTCCACGAATGCGCAGGAGGGCTCTGAATCTCGCTCTGAAGATGATCGCCTTGGGTGAACGTGCAGGATGCTACGTTTATTTTCTTTTTTATTGACAACGTAAATTTAACGGATTTTATTTTTTCCTCTGCTCTTATCTCTATTTTCCTTCTTCGCGGCTCCGCTTCGTACGTAGCTGTTTTTACTCAACTGATTCCTGCCAGCCAATACGTTATCAAACGATGAGAGATTCTGAAAAACTATGTGTGTTCAAACGCTTACACTATAAACTGAAAAATAGTGGAAAATACAGTAAATATAATATAAGATTATACATATAACAATATATATACTTATATATAATATTTTGATACGTATTCAATAATAATTTTGAAAAGTATCAAATATAATAATTGAATATAATATTTGATATGTACAAATTATCATTAAAAAAAGATTTGATTTCTCATTGTATTTCAGATATATAAAAATTTACCCATAAAATTTAATATTCTTTATACTCGACCTAATAAACTTACGACAATGGCTCGTACCAAATAACAAAATTATTAGAAATTTAAGACAACAATTAGTCTAAACTAAATATTTGGATTAGCTAATCGCATATGAGATGTTTGTCGTTCCTTCTTTTCGTTCAGTGCTATTAATCAGATGATAAAATAAACGTTATCGTAACCGTGAGTTTTAAAATTACAGTTCCACACGATTATTGCAGAAATAGAAATAATGCCCGGGGCAACTTTCTCGAATCAGGTGAAGTAATCTTTCAAATGGTTTAACGTTAAACGCGTATTACGTGAATGTTGCTCATTGGTATAATGGATGAAGAGTAATTCTATGATATATATAATTCTCTGACTTCATGAGGAAAAAAGTAACGCGCGTACAAGAGTCAACATTTGTGAAATGATAAAATAGTTTCTTCGTTTGTATTTTCAAGGCGTGTACAAAGCATACGGGCATAATTTACATAAGCATTTACATTGGACGAATGATTTAATGGACAAGTTTGATTATACATTAAACATGTCCATATTTTCAACAATAATAAGTTCTAAACGTGGAGCCAAATTGATATATAGACGATGACGAAAGGGACCGTGATGTACGTGGGCTGTGCAGTATGCGTAGAAAATACATTTAAGATGTTCGACGAAGAGTAGACGTTGAAATCATTTGTCATATTCGTAAGTAGCATGCAGGTAGATGCTCTAATTTACATCAAAACGTGATCAATCATATATTTACGGTAGCGAAAGTACTTCCATAGATATCGCTTAATTATTTCCTCGATAATAGAATCATGGATGCCGCGTAGAAAGCATTTGAATGTTTCAATAAGTTTGTTTCTGTCAAGTTCCCTGTTGGATTGTATCGAGAAAACCGTGAACATGATAAAACTTTGCAAGTTGTTACAATAATAAAAAAAATCCTCTAATCAACACTTCGGCGAAGTTTCGAAACAAGAGCAGTCGTTATTGCAACACAGACGGGAGGACAAAGTATTCGCCAAAGGAGAATAATTCATAATTTTATATAATTCCACGCTGCAAGTAGATTATATGCGAAGCTTCGATTTTTAAAGTAGACCGCCTACTTCGGTTGAAGTACGTGCAGCGGTTACCGTGTACCTACGGATGAAAAAATGCTATTCAAGCCGGCAGGACGACAAGGTAAGAATCGATAGAGTTAGCTGCTTGTCTAATAGACTTAGATAAATCATCATGCCCTCGAAAGATAATCAAAGACTATTCACCGACGAGCTATACAAGTTGGCGTCGAACCGAGTTTATCAATCGCGTGTTTAATCTCTACTAATTACCATAGCCATTACGCCGTGACTTTTGTTAACTACAACTTTTACCACCTGACTACAACAGGTCAGAAAAAATTATTACACACTTAACATCAATCTATTTCAACTGCTTTCTATTCTAACAGCTTTATTCACAATTTCATAAAATTGTCATTGTAAATAGCTATTACATTTGCATGTGATTTTAACGTGAAACAAAAATAACAATTTAATTTTTGTTTAAATCGTAAAAA